TCTAGCTTGTTGCCCTTGGAGTCACACTTCAGCACCTTCTCCTTGGTTAGTCTCAGTTCTATAGTGCACTCATTTGCATCAAAAACTGCTCCAGCTGAAGACAAGAAAGGCCAGCCTAAGATGATGGTATTCTTTATCTTCCCCTCAAAAGCCAAGACTAGAAAGTCTGTTGGGATGATTACTCCTTCAATCATCATGGGTACATCTTTGAGAGCTCCTAGAGGTACCTTGACTGTGCCATCTGTTATGGTTAGAGACACATTACTCTCTTGTAATGAAGTGTAGCCCAACGCCTTAGCTGTAGAAGAGGGCCGCAGGTTGATGCTTGCAGCTAAGTCACAAAGACAACTCCTGAAAGTCTTCCCTTTGAGTACACAAGGAAGAGTGAAACATCCAGGATCTCTAAGCTTCTTGATGTTCAATACCTCACTCCTGGCTATGGCTTCTTTCAGCTCATTCTCAACATCAAGACTTCTGAGCTTCATCTGGTTAGCATAGAGAGTGGTATACTTATCGACAAGCTGCTTCTTAAACCTTCCAGGAAAACGGAGAGCTGGCTTGTAAGGAGAAAGATCATAAGCTTCAGCTTCCTTCTCTTCTTCAACAATCACAAGTGGATTGCTCTTCTCCTCTTCCTTAGTGGTTGCTTTTTCAAGAGACTCTTCCATTGCCTCTTGGTTGGCGTCAGCTGCTAGAAACTCCTCTCTCCAACTCTGAAGTTCAATGTCCTCATTGAGAAATTTACAAATGTGGAAATCACAAAAAAAGTTTGTTGATGTTTATAACAGGATGGACTCTCTCCATGTGGAGTACTCTAACAAGATTGATGGGTTGGCTTCCAGAGTGAGAACACTTAAGAATAACAAAGGCATTTCTGGCCCTAAACCTCAAGGAAACCTTCTTGGAAAACCAGAAGCTAATCCTATGGAGTTCTGCAATGCTATAGCTACTGAAGAAGAGACTCTCATAGCTGAAGAAGCGGCTATCATAGAAGACTTCCTCTCAGCATCATTGGTGTTAGAGAAGCTGTCTTGGCCTTGTGAAAAACCAGGAGGAACAAACTGCTTTGGCTGAAAGTTGCCATGGAAGTTATTCTTTGCTGGTTCCCTTGAGGCTGTTATGGAGGATAAACCTGATCTTGGGGATTAGCAAAATTGTTGCTTCTGTAAGAGAGGTTGGGGTTAGGCCTCTAGTTGCCATAGTTGTTGTTGTAGCCTCCCTGATGTCCCACATAGTTCTTGTCTTCCACCTGAAGTTCTTCCTCTCTTGGCATCTCAATCATTTCACCAATAAAGTTCAGCTTCTTATGCTGCTCCTGAAGGAACTTGTTAAAATCCTCATTGTAATTTCCATCACTTTGAGCCAAGTTTTCAACAAGCTCAAGACGTTCACCCACATCCTTAGAGAGGAAGTTCCCATTACTCGCTCTGTCAGGGAGCATCCTTATCTTGGGGAGAGTGCCTCTGTATAGTATAGACAGCAAGGATTCAGTTAAGAAGCCATGATGTGGGCATTGAAGAGTATAACCTTTGAACCTCTCACATGCTTCTCCAAAAGACTCATTGCTTCTTTGGAAGAACCCTGAAATGTAATTCCTTATCCTTGCAGTCCTGGATGTGCTAAAGAACTTGGCCAGGAATGCCTTTTTACACTGATTCCAGCTTGTGATATTCCCTTGGGGTAAGTTCTTTTCCCACTTGTGCGCCTTATCTCCCAAAGAGAATATGAAGAGCTTGAGTTTGAAGGTATCTTTGCTAACACCATTTATCTTAGTGAGTGAGCATAATCTGTCAAAATTGTCTAGATGGTCCAAGTGATCCTCCAAAGGTAACCTATGTAACTTGCTGTTCTGCACCATAGAGATCAAGCCAGGCTTAATTTCGAAATTGTTGTTCTGTACTGTTGGAGGGATGATACCTGTCCTATTATTATAACTGTTAGGAGCATCACCAGCACCAATGGGCCTCATAGGGCGTGCAGCATGTGCTGGTCCTCTCTGACCTTACTAACCTTGGACTCCTTGTTATCCCTGAACTCCAACAACTCCCTGAACTCCTTGTTCTCCTGGTGGTCCCTGAAATCGCTGGTCATATATACCATGCTCCATGTTGAGCTGATGGAACTTTTGCAGTCTTTCTCTTTCCTTGTTTGCTCTTAATGCTCTCTTAATCTGCACATTGTTGTTATGATAGAGAAGCAGATTCTGATTTCCTCTAGATCTCAGGTTCATGGACCTATAAAAGGAAGATCAAACTTGCAAATCAGTAACTAAACAGAAAATAACAGCCTAATCTCAAGCAATCTATAAATCCAAATTCTTAGATCAAGCCCATATGGCAACGGCGCCAATTTGATAACAGGTTTTTGTTCAGACTCTATTCAAATCCTAACACACTCATGTCATTACAGCATGTCATGTATCAATCCATATGGGCATGTAAATCACTAAAAATGCAGCAGTTCACTCAAGTTAGGCCAAATTCAAGATAACAAGTGTGATCAAACTCTAATGATTAAACTAAAAAAGACTAAGCAGTGCAAATTCAAAGTAAGAGATTCAAATAGATTAAAGCAAGGATCTAAGATGGGGGTTATTGACTAAGAGGGGATTAGAACCAAACTAATGATTCTTCAAAACCATTCAAACAATGCTATTTTCTAAGCAAAGAATTAAAAGCTATAATCAGCCCAATTCATTGGTACTAATCACTTTCTAAACATAAGTCCTAGACAGCTTCCATTACTGAACAAATAATTAGCAAGCATTCAAACAGAAATCCAATCCTATAAATCTAAAATGTTCCTTAGACATCTAATGCCTTAGGCTAAGATAAACAAATCCTCTAAAAGACTCATTGCAGCATTTCATCAAACACTTATCAGACATAAAAGAAATCCAAGATACTAAACAAGTCTGGCCAAGAAAAATCTAGTGTTAAGCACATCTAATAGAGAGAAGAGAATCATATTAAGCATAAGACATCACTAATCAATCCTAAAACCCCTCTTATCTATCACATCTCAAACTCTAAATAGGACTGCTCACTAGTAATGATCAAAACCACAGATTCCAAAAAGAAATAATGGCTAAGCATGATTATAAAGCAGAATAGACAAGAATAAATAAAGGCAAACACAGAAATTCACTAAATCAAACAAGGTCTTACAAAGAAAAGCTCAAAAGGGAAAGGTTTTAAATGCAATAATAGTAAAGAAAATAATAAGATAAGAGTTGCCTAAACAGTTTAAGACTTTTGTATTTATAGGGAGGCTTAGAATCCCCTAATAAACTAAGAATAAACCGGTTTTAGGCTGACTCGGCTGGACCATATCGGCTCCTTTGATCTATACACACATCGATATTAGCTCTCCTTGAGGGTATATAGACTTGGTCATGGTAGATACGGTGGTCGATACACAAGGCTTCAGGGGTGTATCGGCTTGACTCTCCTCGGTGTACACATCGATACAATCGCCCATTTTCTAAGGTATATGGAGCAAAATCACGTCGATATGCTTCTTTGATATTGCCATGTCTCTGGTATATTGGCTTCGGTGCCCGATACACTGCTCGGTACAAGCTCATCCTGGTGTATCGAGAAGAACTTTCTACTTTGATGTTAACTTTAAAGTGGAGTCTCTCATTGATTCTTCAAGTATAAAGTGGTGTATAAGGGATTTAGAAGAGCTGTTTGTTTCTAAGGACATTCGCACAATTCTAAAGCAATCTCCGGCAGCATTCTTAGATAACTTCTGGAAATGGAAATACAACAAGAATAGTGAGTACTCGGTTAAATAAGGCTATTGGATGATTTCAAATATCCAGAATGAAGAGCTAATCAGGCTCGAGACGATGCTACCTTTTCTGAACTTCTTTAAGAAATTGCGCCTAAGATAAAACACTTTTGTGTGGAAATTGCTTAGTGGGGCATTACTGGTGGTAAAGTCTATATCAAAGCAGAGGATGAATATTGATTGCAGATGCCAACTGTGCAGCTATGATGGGGAATCGATTGACTATGTTTTGACAAGTCTTATACTTATGCCAATTTCTTTCATGTCATCTTGTTGGACAAATCTGTACGTATTCCTTCTGAAATTAAGGGTTGCTTCCTTTAGGTCTTGTGGTATATTTGGAAAACTAGAAACTCTTACTTGTTTGAAGAGAAGATTTTCTTTTAGATAGAGACGATGGAGAAGATTTTAGATAAGACAAGTTGGTGGTTCATGGCTCAAACCATTTCCATGATTGAGGAGTTTCAGGTCAGGAAAGTTGTGCCGTTGGAAACTTCTCGCTGGAGACTTCCTCCAAATTCGTGGCTAAAATGTGTTGGAGCTATTTTGTCTAAGTAAAAAAGGATGGGTGAAATGGCATGGGTGCTTAGAGATTGGAAAGAGAGTGTGTTGTTTCATAGCCGTAGGGCTTTGGAGACTTTGATGGTCTGGATTATTGTTATTTCTTGAACTTGGTATGAGCTGTTGAAAGCATGCAAAGTCATAAATTCACAAAAGTGCTCTTCAATTCAGAGTCAGATGCGTTAGTGAGAACTACTAATAGGCCTAGTGCTTGGTCTTCTATTGCTTACCAGGTTTCTGGTTGTGATTTGTGGAGTGGGATTTGGCTGTGATTAGTTTGTCTGTAATTGGAGAGACTTGTCTCATTACTAAAAGTGTTACATTGGAAATGAGCCTTCAATCGTACATTGCGAATTGTGCCCCTCGTTGGCTTCAGAACATCTTTGATGATGAGAGAGTTTTAGACTCTGTTATGAGTTTTTTAATTTTTTTTTTATAAGATAGTGAGGATGCTTTGGTTTTAATGAGTGCTTTGTTGTTCCTATTGTTTAGGGATTTTTGTTGGAAGAATTTTGATCCCTCCTTTCTGATTCCTTAACTCTTGTTGTAATCGGTTAACATTGCTACTTTAATATTTACTCAAGATGAAAACAAAAAAAGACAAAACAAAATTATATGAGCAGAAAGAAACTTTACGCTTTTGCAGTGGTACTCTTTTTTTTATATATACATTATTTAATCATCGCTAAGGCACTGGTTGTTGCATATAAATCACCACCATTCAACTCCATAGTAACTCTCTGTCTTTTGTTAAGACAAAAAAAAAGAAGAGAGTAACTCTCTGTTTTTTCTTTTAATCAAAAAAAAAATTAGCTCCCTGCCTCTCAAACCACATACTACTCCTCTCTCTCTTCACCGCCAAACGCTAAACGCAACCGCCAAAATGACGGAGAAAGAATGTGAGCATCACCACGACGAGGATGAAAAAACGCGGAGACGTATAGGAGCGGCTGTGCTTGGTTTTCTCGCAGCTGTCCTTTTTGTGGTTTTCTTGGTGTGGGCCATTCTTCACCCACACGGGCCGCATTTTGTTCTCCAAGACGCAACCATTTACGCGTTCAACGTTTCTGAGCCCAATTTCTTGACCTCCAATCTCCAGGTCACTCTCTCCTCTCGAAATCCTAACGACAAGATTGGAATTTTCTATGACCGTCTTGACATTTATGCCTCCTACCGCAACCAACAGGTATGTTAAGTTATTAGCGGCTTGGATAGGCGTTTCATTCTTTAGTGCAATTCTTACTAAATCCTTAATAGTAATAATGTAGTAAGAAACAAACTATACGAAAGGACGGAAGACCGACCTCAAAGAAAATGTGTCTAGCTATATTCATCGTTTGGGATCAAATTTATCTATTTTAAATCAATGTTATTTTTTACGCTAAAGATTCATGTTATACTTTACCAAAAAAAAGAAAGATTCATGTTTATACAAATAAATATAAGAAAAGACCGCTAAAGATTCATGTTATACCAAATACATATACGAAAAGGACCGACGAATCTTGGTAATAGACCAATTCCAACATATTAAAATTCTCTAGATTTCATAATATTTGTGATGTTAATTAACTATTTTGGAGAAAATGTTGGATAAGGAGGACTCATGTTTGATTCGTTTTTTTTCGTTTTTTTGTTCTTCTATAATTTGTAATTTCTCTTTTTTATTAAAGGTAACGTTGGCGACTTTACTGCCGGCGACTTACCAAGGCCACCTTGATGTGACGGTATGGTCGCCGTTTCTATACGGAACATCGGTGCCAGTGGCGCCATACTTTTCACCGGTGTTAAGCCAAGATCTAACGGCCGGGATGGTGCTTCTGAACATCAAGATCGACGGTTGGGTTAGATGGAAAGTGGGAACGTGGGTCTCCGGTAGGTACCGCCTCCACGTCAATTGTCCAGCTTACATTACTCTGGCCGGACATTTTTCCGGTGACGGTCCAGCCGTTAAGTACCAGCTTGTCCAGCGATGTGGCGTTGACGTTTAAGCAAAGGAATAATCATTATTCTTTAGAAAGACTAGACTACTTTTGTTGTGATTATAGTATTTTTTAGTTCATAGAATTTATATACTATATTGTTTTGTATTGCGTTTTTATGATTGAGATTAAAGTTTACCGTAATAATGTAGGTCCTTCCAATTTTTATTTCCTTTTGTTGTGATTATAGTATTTTTTAGTTCATAGAATTTATATACTATATTGTTTTGTATTGCGTTTTTATGATTGAGATTAAAGTTTACCGTAATAATGTAGGTCCTTCCAATTTTTATTTCTTTACAATGAACTCCACAAATTGATTATATAAAAAATAAGATTACCTTGAAAAAACATATATTTAACTAACTTCTGTGAAAAACCTATTTAGATGCACAATAAAAAGTTTTAACACATTCATTCTAAGTCTACTAAAATTTGGTTATACGTACATATATAATATGAATTTCAGCTTTACAATTTTAAAATGTATGTAAAATCATTATCTGCTTCAACTGAAATGTTCCGATATTAGGTTAAAGCTTTTACCTATTAAAAAACAATCTCTGCTATAAATTTATAAATTTTCTAAACAAGACAATATTATGTTATAGGAATAAAAGCAACATGCATAAAGATATATCAAAGACAAACGCTAAACCACAATTTAAGTAATATTTTGTACAAGTGTTAAAGAAAGATTCTCCTTTTATCATTACGAACTCCAATTGATGTAATTAAGATAAGGGGATGGTCTCTCACAAAAATGGTAGGTGGTTTAGATAACTGATTATGTACTATTTTTTTTTTCGTTTCTACACTATCTAATGGTTATAGTTACTGACAGTCACCAATAAAATTGATTAATCATTTTTTCCATTGTTGGTAGATATTTCTTGAATCGATAAAATATGAATTTTTTGAAGAGGTGACTTTTACATGATTTTTGGATCCTGTTTCTTAGAGACATGACACGATCATATATGTTTACTTGGTACTAAGTAAGCAGCCTTAGGGTCAACTTTTTTTCTAACTTAGAAGACTTTTGTCTTCTCTTTTTCAGATGAATTAACTTCCCAGGTAAATCTATTCCTACATCCTCAGCTCTGAAATGAATTAAACTTTGATTATAAAAAGAATAAAAGAGTGAGAAGAGGTTTATGCAGGTCAGTATAATATTGAAAGTTGTAGTGTTCATGTTTATGGAACATTTCTGAGACATTTATATTCAAAGGTACTTTTTGAGTTTCAAGTTACAAAAAAAACATTTTTTGTAACTAAAGCATTTTTTGCAATTGAGACACTTTTTTAAAATTGATTCGCGTCCACGCATCGGTGTCCATTCATTGTCACTATCACTTAGTGTCCATCAAATGGTATTTTAACTATCACTTAGTAACAATTTGTATCCATCGAACCATCAGACCGCATCCACGCATTAGTGTCCATCCATTATCACTATCACTTAATATCCATCAAATCGTATTGTAACTATCACTTAGTAACAATTTTATCCATCAAACTGTGTCCATCAGACCGAGTCCATCGAAGTGTGTCCGACGAGAAAGATATTTTTGGGTATTCAAGTTAAATATAAAAAAATGAGGATAAGAAAATATCTTAGTTGCAAAAAGTGCCTCTTTTTGTAATTAATTACTCAAAAAGTGCATCTAAACCTAAATAACTCAACATTTATTTTGATCACTTTCGTATATGAGCTATTTTATTTTTTTATGCTTTAGAATAAAGTATGCAAATGGATACGAGAACTTTATTCACACTGATGACACAATACACGTGAGTGACGAAAATTTCGGTAATATATGTGACATTTGCACACCTTCAAATGCCATACGCATGACATTAATCCTCTTTTTTTTTGCTTTGAGAGTTTCTAAGAGATCTTAACTTCATCTTGATAAATTGAATTAGATAAGAGTAAGATTACATTGGTTGTTAAGCAAAAAAAAACAAAAGATTACACTGGGAAAAAACATACAAGAGAGGACGAATAAAAATGAAAGCATTGTTCTGGATGATAAAAAAGTGCTTTATTTACCTTTGAGCTTTAACAAAGCTTTAATTTTGTAGATGCTTAAAGGAAAAAGAAAATGATTCAAATTCGCTCCAACCAATTATTTCCTTGCCACGTGTTATTGTTACTTTAGTGACGTTGCGTTTAAGTTTCTTTTATATTCCCATTTGATTGTGTCTAGCAACAGAGATTTACTCCCAAAAATAAGAACTTTGTCTACTAAGTAAAAACAATTTATTTTAAATTTTAAAGTTAAATTGGCTCTACAAATGATCTTTATATATATATATATATATATTAGGTGGTTACCCGTACATATGTGCAAGTATAATATTTTTGATATACATATTTAATTATAATATTTAAATGTTAATTAGTTTTTTCAAATATTTGTATATTTGTATATATATTTTTTGCGTCTTACATAATATGAATTTGCAAATACATATATAATATATTTTAAATATATTTTTTTTTAATTTATTGTAAATTAAGCTGAAATAGTTTTTACTATTTTTACTATTTTTACTTATTCTTAAGAGCTAATAGATGGTTGGCACGCATGTGCGGACATATAACCACGTCACTACACTTAGAATAGATAAAAAAAATTAAAAATATGAATTCTATAATAATTAAAATGAAAATTAGACTGTAATCAAGCTTAACAAAATACATGCGAACTTTTTAAGTGACTTCAACTAATTCTTAATTAATATTTATGTTTGTACGCGTATTTGTAAAAAAAATCTAGATATGGCTCTTATGTGTTAAAAAGATTTTAAGTGACTTTGTAAAACAAAGTGCGAGAGATTTATTTTTATATACTTTTATTTTTTATTTCTTGTTCATATTTGTTTCATTTTACTTTAATTTATTATTTCGTTCGATTATTTTTTATTTTATTTATGATTTCAGATTTTTGATATACAATGAAAATAAATTTATATATATTTGTGTGAATATGATATAAAATTTTATTTTTATTTAAAATATGATAAATGATAAGATGAAATAGTAACATAAGTTATGTACATTTTAGAAAACAACAATAAAAAGATGATAAAAGTTATAGAAACATATATGGTCCTATTAATATTATAAAATAATAATTAGTATATACTTTATTCATTTAGTAAATATTGATTTGAAAAGGAAATTAATTTTAAATTACGTTTTTTAAATGAATTTCAATAAAATTTAATTTTTTTATTTTATTTTTAACATTTTATTCTTTAACTTATTTTTATCATGATTGTATTTTGTATTATTTAGTAATTTGTTTATTTAAAACTTGTTTAGATGTTATTACTATATTTTGTAAATTAATATCTTTCCAAAATAAAAATATATCATACTTCAAGTATTATTAATATATAGAATTTGTACTATTCTATTGAATATTTAGTATTATTTTTTTCCTTTTATATGAAATTACAATATATATATTGTTGAAAAAAATCGTAATTATATTTTATGAGATTATTAATATATGTAAAAAATTGAAATTATAATAATTATTATTTTCTGTTAATTTAAATTTATTAATTTTAGTGTTATAAATATAATCTAATGTATATAATGTATTTTTGTTTTAATTTTATAATTTCTTTAATTTTACCTCAACCAATCAAAATATTTCATTTATTTTAGGAAGTTTGACATATCACATTTACATGTCACATTTACATGTCATCAATTAAAAACACTAATTTTGGCTGTAGTGTTGACAAATCAGCTCTTTTTAATAATGTTACTTCTCAAATAATATGTAGTGGATATATATATATATATATATATTTTTGTTTTGTTTAATATACTAAATGCTTCAACGTTTTTGATAATAATCTCAGTTAGCAAATTTTAAGTTGATAAACTATTTTATCATTATGTTTATCGTTGACCAAATCAAAATAAATTAAAATTCTTTTTTATTATTATTATTTTTTCTTTCAAAAATGGTTTCCTAAACGTAAAAGTTTAGTTATATGATGAGGAATTTTGGATTTTCTTTTTGAAACCAGCAAATCGTTTATAACCTCTATCACCAACTCACTCATTTTCTTAGCTTAATCATGATTTACAACAACAATATGAGTTTGTTCTTTAAAAATGCTTCAAAAATTCATTTTAAATAATTTGGAAATTGTGTGTATTCACAATATATAGAGAAATGAACATATATAGGTTCATCAAAGCTCATCTAAAGATATAAAAATGATTTCTTTAAAATTCGCATTTCTTTAAGTTTGATAATAAAATAAAGAACTTTTTAAAACATGAGTATTTTTTAGAGTTTTTTGTGTGTTTTAGATACCTGTTTTTATTTATTTACCTTTAATAATTGTTTTGTTATAATTTCTTTTTTATCATTGTGGATGAAAGTATATGTATAAGATGCAAATATAATATAAAAATGTGGATATTGAGACGAGATTTAGTGGATTAGTTGAAATGAACGCAGTAAATTAGACCATTTCTAATTTATTTTACTATATTTTCCTCTAATATAGAGGAACTCTAAAATAGAGGTATAAAAAAGAGCATCTCTATTTTTTCTCGAAAATAGAGGTGAATTGGAGAACAAAAATGCATGACTTTACAATGTTGTGATGGATAGAAAAATATGAAACTTACTAGGTGGATAATCTAAGGTGAGTGGTTATTTGAGATGAGCAGTAAATTAGAACTTAATAATTTGTGGTGTGACTGTAACCATCTATTCGGTAATTTTCTTAAAATGGCATCCACATGAACTAGATTTGGACACGTTTTAGTGTGTCTATGTCTACGTCAAACATATTAACATACTGTGCTTAATATTCTCTATGCACCTTATCATATCCATTAGGTATGAACAAAAATCATGGACTCGAAAATCCGAACCAGAACCGACCCAAAATAAGCAGTTCGGATCAGATTCTTATCAGGTCTTAAATTTAGGAACCAGGAGTATCAGTTCCAATGCGGTTCTTATCCGGAACCAAAACCAAAAAACCATTTAAAATTTAGGATTTTTATGATTAAAGCTGTCTCATTCTTTCTCTTCTTCAACGAAAATTTCCGTTACACAACTAATATATCTGCAACTTCACCACTGTTTCTCCCTCTCTCTCAAATCATGACTGATGAACAATATTCGACTCTACCGTTTCCTATTTAATCCGATCTTCTCCTCATCTCTTGGGCAAGTGCGATTCCTTGGTATAAATTATGGGCTTCTCTTCTTTTCCCCAGAACATTCTGAAAAGAGTCA